ATCAAGCAAATCTTTCTCTTGAAAAAGTTTGTTTCAAAACCTAAACTTTTTCTCATCTTGGTATTGAAGTAGGGAAACACATGAGTATTATTCATAGTCCAAGTGTTTAAACAAAAGCCCAAAATCATGTCGACTACATATGAGAGTGGCAACCAAATCATTAAATTGTAAAAGTTTGTAACCAAAATAACACCACATTTCCAAAAAATATTTATCTCGTTTTTTTTTTTTTTTTAAAAAAAATTTCTTTGGAACTAACTCTTTGTTTTTCTGTATCCATATTTTCTGAAGGTTGATAGACATTATAATTCCGAGTCAAGCCTACCACCGACAAAGGTTGCTCATTTCTATCATTTCAAATGAAATTATTAGTCTGAAAAGGTTCTGCAAAATTTCTTCAAGAAAACACGAAATGGTGAAATTTTATTAAATTCATTCGAGAAAAAGAAAAATTAAAAGTTATTTCTTCCATTATTTTCTTTCAGAAATTACCGGACTGGAAAAATCCACGTGCCTATGAGAAATAATTGGGAAAGCATCACATCCACACAAACCTAACCAGGACAATCATATAACTTAACTTAATGTTATCCATAAAACAAAGATCTTACTATAACTTAAAATTGTTTAGCGCGAATTAAAAAAAAAAAAGGAGAGGAAAAAAACATACAAGTGGGGAGTCCTTGACCAACTCCAACATGAAAAATTGAAAATTAATTTCCCAAAAAGAGGACTTTAATTATTTGAAAAAGGAAACATAACATATCGTTAATTTCCTTTTATAAACTTTTTTCAAAGACAAAAGTCCAATTAAAACTAGAGACGACTCTTCTTCGTCAGACCAGAACTCAAATCACCATGGAGAATTATTACAAAGAAACGGAAGTAACAACCGCCGCGTCTGGAAACCGCCGAGACGCAGTCGCGGTGAAAGGATACAGCGCGAGTTTCGACGATTCAGCCACCGCCGATCAGAGTAACGATTACCAGATAAAGATAAAGAAAAGCAAAAGCGTTCCAAACGCGGATCGTGCGGCGTCTAGAAGCTGGAGTTTCAGCGATCCAGAATCGCGGAGGAAGAGAAGAGTCGCTGGTTACAAAGTTTATTCCGTTGAACAGAAGATGAAAGGATCCATTAGAAAAAGCTTCAAATGGTTCAAAGACATTATCGGTATTTCTTAATATTTTCTCTTAATATATATATATCATAAAATCTCTTCTTGCTGAGTGTTAAATATCTGTAACAGATACAGGCCAAACCCAAAAAATATGAGCTTTCTTTCTCTTTAGCAATTTATATATTTAGTTTTGAATAAGACAGATGATAAATGAATGAAAAACCAGTTTCCATATCTACTTGTGAATATGACCATACTTTCAAGTTATACATCAAAAACAAATATCTAATCAAATTCACTTTTTTTCGATTTTTCTTTAGTATACACACGTAAACTCGCACAATACAACATTCTCTCATGTCCCTTTTCTTTGTTTCCTGTTATCTTCAATCCCAATTTTCTGATCCAAGAAAATTTGTTCTGATGAATTTTTCTCGAGAAAGAGAAACTTTACTCGATCAACTATGATGTGTGGTAGATGTTGTATCACTTGATGTTGACGCGCTTGTACCGCTCAAAATTGAGTGTTTCCTCTGGAGCCTTTCTCTCAGCTGGCGGATCTTGGCATCGACACGAGCCGTGACTCCAATCTTTGTCTTCTCTCTAGCTTTAGATCTCTCTCTAGTCCACATACGCTCGTCCTGTACGTCAATTCTGAAATGCTTGATCTCTTGTATGAGGTGATGGTCCAGAGGGTTTAACGATCTTTGGAACGAAACGTGAGCTAAGTAAGGGAGCGTTGCGGCGACTATGACCAGCAGTGAGGTAAGCCAGAAGATCGCTGCAGGTGCTAGTGTTTCGGAAAGCATGTGGAAGATGTTGCCTGAGAATTTTGGAGGTAACATGCCAAAGAGGGCAAGGAAGATGTACCAGGTGACGATACTTCCCCAGATCAAGACGTGTTGGATCCAAGTGAAATGGCTCATGGTTAAAGCGATCTGTACGTTCACTGCCCAGATGATGCAAGTGAACATGGCGGTTCCTATTGTGTCCATGTCTGCTGTTTGGCCACCAGAACAGAAAGATTGGACATGGAAGATGCCAATGTTGAGGCTAAAGATGACTATGGATGCGTAGACTCCATTTCCCATCCACCCGAGGATTCTGTACCAGTCAAAGAACAGGTTCTTGGGGCCTTGCTGGTACAGTGCAGGGAACTAGAAAGAGAGTGATAAATTTAAGATTAGAACCTTTGGGGTTTAAGACTGGAGAGTTCTAACTTAGTAGAGGGGAGTAAACCTGTAAGCAGACTTCTGATGACACGTCTTGCTCGAAAACTCCAAGAGAAATGACGGGGAGAGAAGTGAGGATAACGTTGAACAGCAACAAGTAGGAGTCGTTGTAGATCGCTTGACCAGAAAAGCCAGTGAAACACTCGAAGTAGAAGAGAGTTAGACCAAATGTTATGTTCTTGTAGAAGAAGTAACAGATCTGTCACAGAAGAAATACGAATCAAAATCATGTTGTATGTATTAATAGTGATGAGTAATGATGTGATTGTCTGTATATCAATCATTCAATCACAGATACTTACCATCTGGGCTATTCTTTTGTAACACCAGTGTCCGTGGACAACAAGTAGTCTCTCTAGAAACCGAAACTGGGCTATGGAGAAGTCGCTTGCCATTACAGCCTGCAAAAAGAGAACAGAGATGCATTTGCAATCAGAAACAGACCAACGTAGATGTCTCGTTGTATTGGAAAAAAAAAAACAAAAAGGTTGGTCACCTGCATGCCTTCCACGCCACTGATGCCTACACCTATATCGGCTTCTTGAATCATTCCAACATCATTTGCACCATCACCGATTGCCAAGGTTGTCTTTCCGGTTCCTTCTTTCGCTAGTCTTGTTACCTAGAAAATCGAGAGAAACATAAATAAGTACGAAGATATTATTAGGAGTCTTGTGGTGAATCAATCTTACTAGGGCTTTCTGCTTGGGAGAGACACGACAGCATATCACTGAAGCACAGTCAACTGCCAGGGCAAGAAACTGATACTTAATATCATCCTCCAAAGCATATGTAAGTGTCTTCCCATCAATGATCAAAGCAAACGCTGCATATGGATCCTTCTCTAGTTTGATCATCTGTGAAGCATTTAGAATCTGCATCAAAATGCTCTCTCTCGCAGCCTGGCCATTGACAACAACAAACGAGTTCTCACATCAAATGCAATTTTACACAGAAACGGTGATATATGGTTTTTATAGTAGCAGCCTGATACATACAGCTTCTGGGTCTTGGGATGATTCCTCTTCATTTCTTAGTGCTATGGATATCTGCTTCATACCCTGTCGCAGTAAACTGCAGGCATATCTGCATTTGGAAAAACAAATAACTTAGTCCACTTACTACCTATTTAAAATCCTCAGTTTCTGGGCCATGGTATCAGCAACATAGAAGAACAAACCCTATGTTTATTGCAGTCTCCATCTTATCTCCTGTCAAAACCCATATCTTGAGACCTGCTTGGGCAAGTTTATCTATGCATTGAGGCACCTGAATGAACGATAAACAATAAGCTGAAAGGAATTTTTACATTTAGCGTCTTGGTAATAATCACAAATAAGCTTCCATTGCATACCCCTTTCTGCAGTTTGTCTTCCACTGCAGTAGCACCGACAAGAATCAATTCCTTCTCCATCATATCAGATAACTTTTCAAGCATTTCATCTCTGTCAGCTCCGACTGAAGTTTTGGCTTTGTGAAATTCACTGTTCCATACCGAATACTCAGTCTCATCCAGCTTTCTATAACTAAGCGCCAGCGTGCGTAAACCTGCTTCACCATATCCATTCAAATGCTTGGAAGTGGCTTCTAGATGAGTTTTTCCGTTCTTGGATAACCGGTCAAAAATTATGCTGCAAAATTAGAAGATAAAGCATTGAAATTTACTTTAGAAGAACTGATACGCTCTATGGAACTGCTTGAAGTTATGTGGCCAACCTGTCAGCACCTTTACAGAGTAGAAGAAGCTGCCCTTTCTCATCACGGACGATAACTGACATTCTTTTTCTTTTGCTAGTGAAGTCCAAAACATTTAGAACTTTGTATTCTCTGTGGAATATGCGGCACATAGTTACATATATGTTCACTGGGGTCGATAGAAATAAGTGAAAAAGTTACAGTTACCATCTCACCTTTCAACTAGTTGGCCTGAAAACTGTTCCCTGATAAACACACTTGATTGAGTTCTTTTACTAAACTTAAAACCAAACTCCCCGGCAGCAACAAGGAAAGCAACCTCGTCAGGAGACTCAGCTTCATAAGTACACTTTCCAGTATCTTCATCCACCTCGGGAATAGCAGTGTGACAAACCGCCAGTATACGCATAAACATCAAAATGTCATCTGAATTGGGCTCATATAACCAGTTTCCATCCATGAGACGGTTATCCTCAAAACTAAACCCCTTGACACCAGTGGACTGAGCCTGATCCCTTTCGTCAGTAGCCGTGACTACTGTCTCCAACTCAATATCCGATGATGTCTTGCTGTGCATTTTCGCATACTTATGCATCTTTCCTCTACTTCTTGAAAGGTCGGTCATTTCTTCACCATGCTCCTCATCAAGATCTATTGCCATCTGCTTTGCAGCGGCTAGTTCTACTTCACTGGCGCGAACACCATAAGAAGTACCCCCAATGGAGCATTTCAGAAAATCCATCTGGTTACATGTCAAAGTTCCTGTTTTATCAGAAAGGATTGTGTCAACTTGTCCCAGCTCTTCATTCAAATTCGATGTGCGTGCTTGAGCTGGAGTTCCGCTCTCGCAATCATACATATGCAAGTCTTGGTTTATGAAAGTTGCCTGCAAAACTTTTACGAGCTCGATGGAAACATACAATGAGATGGGAATCAAGTACCCATACAGCAAGAGAGCAGTGATCAGATGAACGACCCAAGCATGGAAAGGATTTCTTGGATTAGTTAAGCGCTCGGGCTTGTCTGGTCGTAAGTACCACCAATCTCCCATATGCATCTTTGTCATCACTGCAAACCCCAGCGAGCTGATGAAAGAGACGAAGACAAGGAGGGCAAAGAGAGTATATATGATGTAGTCCATTCTCTTTTCAATTCTGCTTCTCTTTGAAGGGGATTTCGTTGAATTCTGCATGACTTTCGTGTCGTGGCCTGTAAATACCACCACTCCATAGACATAAGACGTGTTCCTGAGCTTAGAGTCTCTCAAGAGAATCTGGCTAGGATCAAGTGGATGAACCTGACCGTTATATTCAAGATTTCCGACAAACGTATACAGGTTGGGATTTGGATCTTCACATTTGATAGTTCCAGAGAAACTCTGAAAAGCATCATCCCGTTCAAAAGGCAAGGTAACATCCAAACATCTCTTTACTTTTAAGTTGGTTTCGCCGTCTAAGTTCATAGTCTCCACATAACAGATCCCATCTTCATAACTTGATGACAATAAGAACAAATCAGCTGGGAAAAACTGATCCTTCTCAACTTTAACTACATCCCCTACACGGAGCTTCTTCCACTTCCTACGACCAAAATCACCATCCCCTCTGTGAACAATAGCTTTCCTGGAATTCACCTCCACATCCTGCATAAACCGGCGCCAATCCTCCAACGCCTCTTTACCCATACTAAGCCCGACCACGAAAATCAACGGCGCGATCATACTCCACTTGTTGAACGGTGAGAGAGGAAACACAGAGAGAATGGCAGCTACGAGGAAGTAGAAATTGGCAACACGGTGGAATTGCTCGTACAAACACTTTGGTAAGAAAGTGATGAGGTTATACCTAGTGGTGGAGACATAGTTTGAAGTGTACCTAATGACTTTAGCCAGATGCATATGAGGTTGGTTACAATGAACGATTCTCGTGTATCCAGGTCCGTTTATGATATGAGGTCCTTGATCTTCTAGGGTTTTTGGCCTAAGGCATCTAAATGTGTAAAAATGACTTTTCCTGAATTTTGATCTTATCCTGCGACGACCCATTCTCTCAAAAAGTCTCACCTTACCGCGAATTAGCTGATCAAGAAACAACGAAGATGATCTCTTTTACCAGAGGCCCTCGCCACTGTGTGAAAT